TGTGGCAAGAACGGCGAGATCTGGTTCAGGCCTGCTTAGGCTTCGTTATATTTGCCAGGAAAACTAATTACTGGCTGTGGCCAGAGCTTGACCCGATAATCATCTCTGACTATTAACGATTAAGGGGGAGGGAGATCTCCTAGCTGGAGGATCTTTCCAATTACTTCAATCAATTATTTTAATTAGCCAGAACGACTGCCGAGGACAAAGTTTAGGCCAAAATATAGTAGACTTAAGAAGGATATGTTGGATATATAACATGCCTTTTAATTAGCAGAAACCATATCTGGTTTCCTATCGATTTTAATTAAAGAAAAAGGAAGTGCCTGCATAATTTTCACACGCTTCTGGGCCCAACAAAAAGTGTCAACCTGGCATCTCCAATCGGATCAGCAGATCAAGAAACCCAATTCGCGTTTCCTGCCTCAAAGACCGAGGAGTATCTAACCTGATCTCAAGAGCCACCACGACAATTCCTGTACAGACCAAATTGACAGGCGATTTCCGTTCAAAGACGTTCAAGGCGGAGAGGACCGTAAGGCCAACTAAATGGACCGTCTACTTAAAGATTGGCGCCAGTCTGTAGAACGAGATGGATAGAGAGCGCCACGCGCCGCCGTAAGCTCTTCTGGGCGCCAAGGCGGCATTCAAATTTGAGCTACCTCTCTCTAGCCCCCCATTCCACCAAACCAAGACGCCCCATTCCAGGTTTTTCTGGTCCACGCCTTCAGCTCTAATGGCAACAATCATCACTGATAGAAAATGGGTATTACCGGGAGATATAGATCTCTAAAGGTTCGCAAAACAAAGGTCAAGTATGGGCTATAGTAGAGCTATGATATCTTAAATATCATCTGCAATTATTATTGGATCTTGCTAATCCCAAAAAGAATCTCCAGTGTAGAAGAATGCCTTTTGGCTCTCGATGGCTACTCTTAGAGTTCAACACGACAATGGCAGTTCATTATAGCAGGGCAGCGCATAAGCGATCCCGAGAAGAGAGGCCGCAGGCTCAAGGACACGCCCCACCTAATGATGAGCAGGTGAATGCAGGTCCACCAGCTCCAGCTTCCCGGCCATGCTGGTCCGTCGCCACGAAAATTACTGTTCTCTGGGCGGCTAATCACAGACGCCGCCACCGCTGGTCGCCATCCCGAGGGGGGCATCTCTATCCCAGCCCCCCGTTTGTGGTACTCCCCCTATTAAACGGGCCAATGCAATTGCAACTGCAACTCGTAGGCCAGAGTCGCCTTTATTATTTACTTTAATTAGCATTTCCGCACAGGCAGGCTAGCTGACTGGAGTGCAGATATTCCGCATCGATAAATAACATTAATTAAGCTGTTCTTTGGGGGGGCAGGCACTCCTTAGTGGTCGTTCCCCCACCCACCCAACCAGTGCCCAGCGAATAGAAGTCAATTTTAATTAACCATTCAGAGATCGGGCTTCTGTTCTAAGCCGACTATTGTCCGGCACTCCACTTGACTCTAAGCCGCTTTGCCGCACAAATCTTTTGTCTTTTGTGCCTCGATTGGAACAATGTAGGAGCAGGAGCTTCAGTCCTGAAAGGATTCCCCATTGAGGTCGACCATAATTTGAATCATAATATCATTGATTACAATACAAAGTCTGCACACCTTTCAAAATTCTGATAAACATCTCAGAGTTGCAGTTCTGGTTCCAGTTAGTTACTCTTTAATTTCCGTTCCCCATAATCTGCAGCCATCTCGCCGTTCATATCGTTAACCCCTTCGAGACCTTTGTTTCTGAGCTGCTTTCGCCACAGTAGTTGCCCAGAAATTAAATGCTAATTTCTTGTAATTTCTTTTGATCTTGATGGTGTGGCACCCTCTACGCAATGCCCTGCAATTTTGAATTATTTCTAACTGTGCTGACTCGCAAGGAGGAAGTGCCTCCACTGATGGGCTTTCCCTGGGCTGGGCCTCGACATTTTGACAGCTGCGCCTGGCTGGCACATGTGTTTGGAAGAAAAGGGGGAAAAGAAAAAATGTTGCAGCAGGTCAAGAAGCGCTTGGCTGAGCCACAAACAACAGCCAACCCAAAGTTACTTTTAGATGCGCTTTTAAGCCAAGTTAAGCCGTAGCGTTTTGCTTGGGCGCCTCCACGTTAGAGATCTGGGGGATCTGAGATCCGACATCTAAGAGATCTGCGATCGATAAGTGAGTGAGTTAGTCAGTGGGGGGAAACTGAAAGCGGGGGCGCTGGCCGATCAGATCGTAAATAAGCGTTGAAAACTTTATAAATCCGCCATCACATAAACTTAACCGTGTTTACGAGGCGGCAACCAACAATGGTGGTCACGATCAGAAGCGGTAACCGGCCAAAGACAACCAAGACAGTCGTGTGACTTAAGCCGGAGTCTCCAAAAAGGCACTTTATCAAGAGCTTTAAAGCCTTATTATTTTAGAATTATCCTTTTTTTTTGCAGTGTGTTGTTTCAGATCGTGGGCAGTTGTCGCCATTGTGGCTGTCAGCCCATTTTTGCGGTGACATTCCTGAGAAAAGCGACCTGTCGAAGGCATTGTCATAATTATTAATAAGCTTACTGGTCGATTTGAATGTGGTCAAGATACTCGAACTTATATTGTGGTTCTGGTTCTAAAAAGACTCTGTATTTGTATCTGTATCTGTGTGGCTGCCATGTGATTGAGATTGCGGCTTCGGTTCGTTGGTGTGTGTGTGTTTGGCATGTTTTCTGGGCTTGGGACAGGTGTCGGTGTTTTTGATCTCCGGCACAACAACTGTTTGAGAGATTTGTCATTTTCTTGTGCAAGGTTATGGCAGGTGGGCGTGGCACTGCAGCAGCACTAGCAGCAACCGCTGTAGCACGCCTTCTAATGACGTTGTCCAATTGAAATGAACGTCACGCACCCGAACAGCGGGAAAGAAAAAGCATCGGAAAAGGAAAAGCGCACAGGAAAAGTTGCAAGTTGATGGAGATGTGTGGCAAGAGGAAAAACTTTTGCCTGCCAGGCTTCTCAAGCAAAACTGATTGCAGTTTGCAGCTAATTGCAACACTCGAAGGCTGGTGGTGGTGCAGCAAGTGCAGGCAGTGCAGCACCCAAGGCTTTGGCTACCGACTTGATTTCTCTTCACGATTCTATACACTGAAGAATACAGATTGGGGTTTATCTAGGAGATTTGCTATTCCAGAACTATTCTTAAGCTAGATTTTTCTTTCGGTGTACTCTTATTTCTTTGCTGACACATGGCAGCTGTAGGCTGAATCCGAATCCACTGTTGGCTCCTGCTCCTCATTTAAATCGCACATTTGTCCGCGTCATCTTCAAGACCCTGTCTCTGGGGGCCCCCCCTACCTCCTACCATCATAGCTGGCAGCTTATTTCCCTGGCGGGAAATCAAGCAAAAACAAAAATTAGAAGCGGGGCGAAAAAATTAACTCTTTGGTATAATTTTTCATTTCTCGGAATGAGTTTGGGAGCAGCCGCAAGTAACACGACTTGTGTCAGTAGTGCCCCAGCCCCAGTCCCAGCCCGAGGAATTGTAGCACAAACATTAGAAAATGTTCTGCCCCGTTGTTCTATGCAGCAGAAGTTTATAAACAGAAACCGAACAAAATACATTTCTCACAAATACAAGGGGGGGATATTGCAACATTTGCAACTGTCAACGCGACAGAGACAGTTTATTGCCGGGTTGGACTAAGGCCAATAATAATGATGACTGGCCCATTCCAAAGGGATTTCGGCTGTCTATTATTAGAGAGAGGTACTATGAAAGGGAAAACTTTCAAACAAATAAAGTTACTATATACCCAGCTCCCACACTTTGCAACCATTATTTATGTTCTGATGTCAAAGCCTTGAAACATAATTCTTGTGTCGCTGGCCGCGAAAAAAAGCGCCAGAGCAAAGCAAACAAATAGTTAAACACTCGCATATATATTTCAAATGCATTCGAGTGGTCGGGGCTGTCAATGACATGGATTTCCAGCCACCAAAGAAACAACAATCGAACTCCAACCGAAGGCACAAAAAACAATGCAAAAACCTCATGTGCCAGTGCCATGCGGTGCCAAATCAAAACGTCAAATTATAATTGTCTACGAGTTCTTGTTGTTTTTTTTTTTTAGATATTTTTTGTATGCATTGTATAGTTTTGGTTTTTTTGTGGCACGAGTGCAACAAAAACTGTTAGAGAGCACAACTCGAATGGTGGGGTCGAGCCCAAGAAACGACACCCACACAGGAAGCCCAGAGGAAAACCAAAGAAAAACCGAAAGCCAAGAAAAGCGACCAACCAGAACCGAGTTGGCATTGACTTTAGTATTTCCACTGAAAGTTTATGTTTAAAATTATTAATAATTAGAATTAAAAATATTATTTAATGGCTGTGCAAGAAACTCTTTATTTAAATTAAAATTATTATTTTCAGCATTTTCTAAAGTTATCCTTTTTTTTTTGTGTTCCTAAGACAGTCTTGCAGAGTCTTGAAGTTAGAGCTGCGGCGAGGTCAGTCTTTGAGTGGAAACCCCCAACTCCAAGCCGCACATAAATTAGTCAGAGTTGCATGCAAAATGAGCCGCCACTGCCACTGCCCCTGCCACACTCCCACTTCCACTCCGACTCCGCCTTCGGGCGTCGACAAACTGTCTGGGTTAACAGTCAGTCGATTGGCAATTAGCTCGGATCTCGGATCTCCCAGCTCCAGACCCCAATCGTTTTTCGCTGGCGTGGCTCATTGCTCATTGCTAGATTGTTCAATTTTCGGTTAATTGGTTCTGATTGTTTTCGGGGCGTGTTGCTTTATTTTTTGTATATCTGAAGCGGGGGAGTGGTGGGAGGCTTATTCATGGGAGACTCTATAAAGGGTGTTGTAGGTCAGTTATATGGCAGAACCTTCCTACCAATCCCCCATCTAATTAATCCCAATTGGCAAGTCAGATTTCTAGCTTAAGTATGCAAATGACATTCCACTTGTGACTAATGTATCTTGTATCTTTTCATGTATCTTTGCAGGTAAGCAGAGTCCCTGGCACCCGAAGGTCACCCTGTGTAGAGTAAGTGGTTGCATGTAAGTTATGCCTAATTATCACCCATCTAGAGAGGTCTGGAGGCGTGGGTGTGACCCACGCGTCATTCTGCCAGTCTGGGATTGAAATCGAAACTGAAACTGATTCCGAATACCGATCAAACACGAGTCGCGGCGACTAACGAGTTGAGGCGTTTACATCGAAATGCGGCATCGTGCCGCTAGCAATTATATTCCATGTTGCTATTGCTATAAATTAATTAAATGGAAAATAATCGTGTGCAGCCAGTCAGACGGCGGTCTTCACAGAGACACCGACAAACGGTGCCGAGAGTTCTAAAGTGCTTTTGTAATTTTAATTGCTCCGCGCCAAATGCTAGGCATTCCCAAATACGGCAACTCGCACAGCTCCAACCAAACAAGTGCACCACCAGTACATCCATCTATCCATCCGCCAGATACTCAATGGTAGTAGTTGCTTTTATGCGGTTAATGTCTCTGTTTAAGCAAACTTCCTTCTCGTGTTCTAGTGTTCTCGTGTTCCCCAGCCATCGTCGTCACAAGCGATTTTTGTCAAATGAAAAGCAAACAAGGCAACACGAAAGGTTCCTCTAGCTCACGAAATTCATTGTCACTGTATCTGCATCGGTATCTGCATCTGTAGATGTATCTTCAGCTGTCGCCAAAGTTGTATCTGCATCTGCATCGAGCTGTTGGCGGCTTTGTTGGATTTAATCGCGGTGTTTGAATTATTTATGTGCCAGTCCTGCCTCAAGTGCCATGTGTTTGGCTTTTGGCGATGAATGCCAATCAAGAGGTTCCTCATTGAGGAGTCACTTAGCTACAGTTCCTAGATAACTCAGCTCTAAAATAAAGATCTTATAAATAAATAAAACCCCAACCAACCTCAATCAAAATAAATAATTAAGCTCCTCATTCACGCACTCGTTTCGAACTCTGTTTGAGCCAAAAACAGATTTTTAAATGCCTGCATTAACCCTTTGGCTATCAGAAGGGTTCAAAGCACCCCGCCTTTTGGGCCAATTGGTCCTTTGTTTTTGGGCACCATGGGCAGTGGGGTGATTGGTTCCATATTGAATTACCAAAGTACAGTGAACACTCTGCCGCAGAGCACTCTTTTTGTTTGGGCCTCTTGTGCTTTGTGAATGCCAAAATAAAAAAGGCCCCCATACTGGGGCAAAAGGGGGCGTTGGCATAGTGGGCGTGGGCATAGCCGTTCAATGGGCAGTGGTCGCTTGGAGCGAACGAACATTGAGTGAGTGACGGACTGGTGGAGTCTGACATGCACTGAGAGGAAAGAAGGTATACTACCAATATCTATAAAGAATTCTATAAAATGTTATAATTATATTTAAAATTATAATAAAAAGAACCATCTCAGTATGATCTTCTATATTTAATATTGATTTCTCTCAGTGTCGTCTGGTCGTTGTCTGAGTGACTGACTGACTGACATGCCCATTTCGCATGCCTTTGTGTTTTTGGCCTGTTTACCTCGCCCACAATCCCCCCTGGAGCCCGCCCCCCGGCAACCACTATGACCACCCCCATCTCCCCGTATTTCAGCCATATAGGCTCTCTTGTATTCCTTTCTTTTTGGCTTTTTTTTTGCTTTTTTGGGGGGGTTGCTTTTTGCATTTTGTTTATATTACGTGTCGCTCGCGCTTCAAGGCGGCACCACCACCGACTGACTGACAACTTCAATCAGCATCAAAGACCCAGAGCCGACTCTCGACTCTCGACTCTGGACATACGGCGTACGGCCCACTCCACAGCCACATGGTATATACTGTACTGTACCATGTGCCACGCCCTGTCCGCGTCTCTGGTAATTGGAGCAGCGTTGAAGTTGGTGGGCTTTATTTCGTTTCAAAGCCGATTCTCAGTGGGTGTTGAAAAAATAGCTTTCAATGAAAGGAGGAATGGAGGGGGAGTTAATTGTAAGACAAAAAAAAATGCCACCAAGAGCTTAAGTGGGTTAGCGATAAGCCACACAGTGGAAACTCCAAGGATATGATAGGCCAAAGGATTAATCTACCACTGAACCTTATTAAAATTGAATAAATAAAGTTTGTAGATCGATTTTCAATCAAAGTCATTTTCTATGTTTGTTCTGCGGTCGTTTTCACTGTGGCAGCCCAACCCGCCTCCAACTCCGACTCCAACTCCGATTCCAACTTGCCTCTTTATGCATGCCGCGAGCGTGACTTCATCTTGACCTCGCGCATACGCCGCATAGCCAGCATACGTATACGTACGAGTAACCATCCAGTTCTCCATCTGTCCATACCACCATACTGATTTCGATTCAGATTCCATGGCGATTCCGTATCCACAGCCCACACAAATATGCCGCCAGCTACCAAGCGAGACACAGTGTCTGCTGGGCTCTGTAGTGCTCTCTTTCTCCGTCTCTCCACCTTTCTCTGTCTTGCGCTTTTCTCCACTCTTTTTTGTAGCCCGGTCTTCAGTAGACTCCATTCTGCGGCGCTTTGGAAGCTATTTTTATTGATGAAGCGTACAAATTGAAGCACCGGGAAGAGCCAACAACAACAATGTTGCTCCAATGCCCGACGGCAACATATCATGCGAATGAAACATTGCGTTCATTAGCGGCGATATTGAATTTATGTTGCTGGCAACATTGTTGCCGTCTTCTGGAAGACACTCCCTCGGCCCCGGCTACAGTGATGACAATGACAAACGGTCGCCCAGATTGATTCGTCGCCGTCATCAGCAGACATGGCCATATCCCATATCCCCATAGTCCACATCGACGTGTGTGGTCCGATCTTCCTCCTCGGGGCTATTCTTCTCGAGCTTTTTTTTTGCGGTCTGCTCTCCGGTCGTTATCAGCTCACCATTTAGGCTTTGAGTGCCTTTTCTAATTCACACTTTTTTTCCGCCGCTCTTCTCGCAAGACTCGGCGTAGCGATTCTTCTCTCCTCGCGGGCCCTTCTTCTGCGGCAGAGTTCCCAGCATGTGACGACGTTCGCGACAATCAAGAAAAAACAGCCGCCGAAGAATTGAGGAAGTAGAGTATCGAGGCTACAGAAGTGGAAGATAGAGATATGTATATCCCCCTTAAGTATAAATATTTCTTATTAAAATATTTGGATTACAAAGCTCTCTAGAAGCTTGAAATGTAAAAAAATATGTTTTTTTTATTTAAAAAGTATATTGCAACATTGTGGCATATGGAATAACTAATCCTTTTCTCATGTTAGGGTATGGAACCTCTAAGAAAAAAAGAACCTAAAGTGAGAACGGATCGTAGGCCACACACGAAGCCACAGAGCGGCATTTGTCTAGGCCTCTGAGCCAAGAGGAAAAGCAAAAGCTGCGACATTGCGACGTGATGAATGAGCAGCGACAACATCAGACACAAATGCAACTTAGGGGAATGGGGCATGGGGCATGGGGCATAGGGGGAGTGGTGGTCAATCTGCACCGCTGTCAGCTTTGTGCGACTCTGTCAACGCTGTCGCTTTAACTCTGCCGCCTTTCCTGCCCCAACCCCGGCCCCGGCATCATCTTCTGTTGACGGCGGCGCTTTTTTTTTTTTAAATGGCGCGCGTTTAATTTGCAAATGAGCTCAGATCGGATCCCCCGGACGAATGGATCTCACTCGCATAACCTCCTCCCATTGCCCAGAGCCCCAGGAATCCGCAGGCCACTGGCGAGGCCTCGTGATGAGAAACACTAGAATGTGTGTGGGGAACTTTCCCATCTCGGATGATGATTACCTGAGGCTTTTACCCAAAAAAATGAAAGAAAAGTGATATGATTACACAAGTATGGGTATTAGATTCATGGATTATAAAACAATGAGATAGAAGGTTATACGATATGGTAGTTATTATGATCCATTCACATACAGGATGATGAATATTTTATGTAATTCCAGGTAGCCTATCCTGTAAATGGTCTTGTAACCCAAAAAGCAAGAACTATTTGTTGGGCATGCAAGGTTACCTTTTGTTCATTAAAGTCCCTCCTGAACCCTACCCTCCCCACCCTCTCAATGGCCAACTTCCACCATTACTTAATTATTTCCCCCACCAATCGAACATAAAGCGAACAGAATTAAATTCATTTGGCTGTCTCCACTTTGGAATTTGTTGTTTTCGCTGTCTCAGCATTCCGCTGACAGACAGAAAAAGAAAAGAACCGAGCTTTAGGGAGGCACTAGGGGGAGGACGGGGCCGTGGCATCCGAGGTCTATGTCTGGGCCAGAGTTTCCGAGCTTGAAGTTGTGGCGCGGTGCCATTCCCGGAATTGTTTGTCTCTCCGGTTGTTGTCTTTTGTTTTTTTTTTTTTTCGTTTTTCAGACAAAAAGCGTCTGCCAAACACTGGGATCTCATGTCGCGGGCTGGGGACTCGGATTCGGATTCGGATGTTTGCTCTCCTGATGCTGGCACAGCATAATAGTATTTTTTATATATAACGGCCACGCACCGATTCGCGGGGTATTTCCAGGAACCGGGAAACAGAATTAGAGGAACACTCATTCATGGGCCATCGATTGAATTACAGCGTAGCTTGAACTTGTTTTTAACGCTATTCGATTTCTCTGGTTTCTCGGATTCGCAGAACCAGGACCAGGACTAGCCAATAATCATAATAATAATAATGAAGTATCCCCCATTCGCTGGAAGTATGTAGGTCGACGGTCGGAGCGCGAGTTCGTATCTTAGGTTCTGCAGGGCCACCAAAATATGACCCATTTCGAGGGAAGCCGCATGAGGGCCATTGAATGGCAAGACACCACCATCTCCACCGCGTCCACCAACTAAACCTGAAACCGCCTACCCAACAAATCTCACATGCCATAAATTATAAGCAACATGGAGGAAATGTCAACTCCATCGAGTGGGTCAGGCCCACAAATATAGAAAATTATTAAATGGAATGGGGAAGTAACGAAATTTGTAATACTCTGTTTTGGAACTAAATATGAAATATTTTTAAAGCCAACTAGAGGAAGAATCTCTTAGAAACTAATATAAAAATAATTTATATTTTTAATATCGAATCTCTCTTTGAAAGAGTATCAATACCAGACCCTTGGATATATTCCTCGATGGATAACATCTACCTATCCACTATCGTAAATATGAAAATTATGTCAGAAATGCAACCCACCCACCTATGACACATTTGTGATTTGTTTCTCTCGTTTCCACCATGTATTCCCAATCGCCGAAAAAAATAAAATAAAGAAAAAGTCCATGACAGTCTATGCTAATCAGTAGTAGTCTCCCACATGGCCAGACAGAAGAAAAAAAAACTCGTCTGGCCAAAAATAAATTTGTCGGCTTGATATTTTCTGTATTTGGTGGTGTCTTCATTGGCGGCAAATGTATTTATTATTTATTAATAGACTGGCGCAATTTAATGTGACATTTCGGCATCCCATTAAAAGCGTATTAGCCATACGGCCAGATAGGTGGATGGACTGGATTTGGTCAGTGGCTCTCCAAAGGGTTAACACAAATCAGGTGGCTGTCGAGCCATAAAACTATTTACGGATGCTTTATGGGTGTGGTTCTAATGTGAGAATTTGTCGCCAGTTGTAAAGCAGGGGATTAACTATATCACTATACCAATTATAGGGTTTACAGCCTTTTCATGTGCTTTGCATGTCCATAAAGTGGGGAAACGAATCGTAATTATTTTATATCTATAGGGCCTGGTAATGGTTCTGGGATGGGTTATATACTTTACAAGACCATAAACTGTTTAAAAAATATTTTTATCCAAGAAGACTGTGCAGATGCAGCTTCCATTCTCTTCGGCTTGTACCTTTCGCCCATTTATTTTTAACGCTTCGGCTATAAGAACCACCGACAGCTGAAAAG